TGAGGTTGTAGTCGCCTATGGTTCTCTCCCCGATACTGCGGAGATGATAATTCCATCCAAGGTTTTCTCAATGATTGCTATTGAGGTTGTAATCGCCTATGGTTCTCTCCCCGATACTGCGGAGATGATAATTCACACCAAAATTCTCTCAATGTTTGCTGTTAAGGTTGTAGTCGCCTATTGGTTCTCTCCCCGATCCTGCGGAGGTAGTAATCATCCCAATATTTTCTCAACGATTGCTGTTGAAGTTGAAATCATCCCAAGATTTTCTCAATGATTGCTGTCGAGGTTAAAGTCATCCAAGGTTCTCTCACCGTTCCGGTTGAGGTAGTAACCATCCCTGGTTCATTCATCGCCGTTTGAAGCTCCAGATTCAGCTCCTGTAACCAGTCAGGACACATCTACACAAAGAATTTGAAGACCAGCTCCCGTAACAGGTCAGGTAATCATCTTTCTTTTTTTGCAGGTACGCAGGTTCTCGCTAAGGAATCTCTTACGCGATCAACATCCAGATGGCATCTATAAGCCCGTCCACCTTCCATCATCTCTTAGCATGGCATCTATAAGCCCATCATCCTATCCATCAATCTCTAAATGGCATCTATAAGCCCATTCCACCATCACACTGCTACTATGTGAGCGCAAATTTCTGGGCACTCTAGTGTTCAATCATCTTCCACCTTCGGATTACGAAAGGCACGTCAGCCAATCTGCATCCTCAGGTCTAAGAAGATTGAACAGGGGCAACTGTTGTACCCCAAAATTTGCCCTCCCATATTCTTCAAGAAATTGCCAAGTCAAGCTTCAAAGTTCCCCAAGGGTTGCACAGTTCAAGGGCCTCCTAACAGTCAAAATTAGGGTTTTGGTTCTGACAAAGAAAATGAAGTTTCCAAGGGTCCAATCATGTCTCACATGCCTATAAATATGGTCAAGCATCCTCATATCAAGTTTCAAGACTTTCAGCACAAAATTGCACAGTCAAAAACCCTAATTGCACTACAGTCAATTGTAGGGGCAAAATGGTCATTTGACAGTCAAAAGTTCAAATTTTTGGTCAACATCTCATTTTGAAGCCACAAACATCATTTGATAAATGCTTGATCATGATTCTCAAAGCTTGGCTCAAAAATCATCAAGATGCAAAAGTTTCCATATTTGGACAGTTGAAAAAGTCAACTGTAACTTGACCAGGGCATAACTTTCACATGGATTATCAGAAAAATTCCATCCAAAGCTCATTTTGAAGAGAACGACATTTCCTACAACTCATCTTCATACTTCAAGTCCAAGAAATGCTCTCACAAAAAGTTATCAATTTCAACATTATAGGTCATTTTCAAAAGTCAACAAAAAGGGACTTTAAGTAAAAGGCCATAACATGATATTGGTAAATCAAAATGACATGGGACCAAAGACATTGGTTAGAGGACTCAAATACCTTTCCAAAATGTCCAAGAACATGAGCAAAGCTTAAAAATTGAGCAAGTTATGTCTTGTGGAAGTTGGGAAATTTTTGGATATTTTGAAAAGTCAACATTGATTCAAATGACCTAAAATTGCTAATGGGCCTCTTTTTCTTCCACAATTCGTCACCCAAGGCATGTGCACGACCATTTGGCCCAAAGGGAAGTTTTTATCATTATTTATTTATTTATTTGGATTTTTTATTATTAATAATTCATTTAATTAAATTAAAATACATGAAAAATACTAAACCTAATTTTCCAAATCTTTTTGTGCAAGGAATAAGCTTATGATTTCGTGCCTAACCAAATATAGAAAGAATCAATGGAATTGGACATGATTTGTATCAAAGATGCTTGAAAAAGATTGGAAAATCATGGCTTAAAAATCAAATATTCTTTTCATCAATTCATGGATTTTTTGATCCAATTTCTAACCCTAATCTGATGCCATACATATATTGATCAAAACCCTCGTGCTTTTGGACTGGAAGTTGCGCCATATCAAAAGAATAAAACTTGCACTTTTGTCAAAAAAACTCAAGAACTGAAAACCAGTTTCTAGGACGATTCAAGGCCAAAGATCAGTTTCATTAGCTTGCTGAGGCTTCAAAGAAGGGATTTGGATCAAAAACCATAAGCTTTAACACCAAGAAAAGTGAGAATGATCGCACCCTGTACAAAAAAAATTTCATATGCTTGCATCATGATTCATGCGATTTCAATGCTTGTTAATGTTTGATTTATGTTTCTTGAATGATTCTGAAGCTAACCCATTTGTTTAATTGCATTTTTATCACTCATATGCGGTTTCACCATTGTTGGATATTAGGGTTCTTAAGCTTTCAATTTGGGCGTTTCTTAACGCTGTAAAATTAGACCACCACAATGCCATGACCATACTCAGCGCGCTTGGACGAAGAGAACGGGACCCTCGCACCTAATTTATATGGCCGGATGGCCTAATCGCTATTTTTGATAATGTTGCCTTTTGGAACGGTTCAAAACCGTTGCCAATGTTTTTGTGTTTCAGAAAAAAAATAAAGCAACGAAGAAGACGACCCTGTGGCGATCAGTGATTGGCCTATTTGAATTTTACGCGCTAAATCTCCACTAACATTTGTTTTATTTTATATTGTTTATTATTTACGTAAGGTACAAAGAAGTAAAGCAGCTCCACTGGCAGGCATAAGCGTTGGTAAACCACAGGACCTGGGTTCGAGCCCCAGGTCCCTCACCCCTTTCATATTATTTTCCATTTAATGCTTACATGCAGCTTCAACGCTAAAGCACACCATGCACCCACATTATCAAGCGTCCACGCGCCCCATTACACTTCATCAAAGGCCAGGATCTGAAGACTAGGGTGTGCCTCAGTCAACGGCCATACATGCTAATCAAAAGGTCAACGAGGCCTGAAGCTTATTGGGCTCAATTTGCTAAAGACTTACTTCCACTTGGGGACAGCACCCCCCTCTAGTTTGTTTCTTTTACTTTTTTTTATATCTTTTTCTTTTCTTTATTTTAATTAATCTCTTTTAATTCTTTATAATTATTATTTTCATAATATATAAAAAAACACAAAAAATCATAAAAGATAAAAAATAATAAATATATTTATTTAATTAGTATTTTTGTAAATAAAAATATTTATTAATTAATTAGTTTTAATCTAGGGTTAACTTTAATATTTTTTCAATAAAACCTAAAAATTGATAGAATTAGGGTTTCAAATCTTTTCATTCATTTTTTTCTTTTCTTTTCATTAGTAATTAAATATTATTTATTTTTGTAATTAAATTACCATGTAATTAATTAGGCTTAAATTTTAGATAATTGTCATATTTTCTTAATAAATTAAAAAAATTGTAGAATTAGGTTGTTAATTTCATTAAGTTCTCATAAATACAAAAAGCCAAAAAACGATTTCTTTTCTCATTTTAATTTAATTAGTTTAATAATTCAATTTAATTTCATTAAAAAAAGGGTTCAACGCCCTCGCTTCCCATTGTAATTTAATTCGCACATTTACTTTCTTTTCGTTTATTTATGTACCTCTCCCAAAGCTGTGTAATTTCATAATTTCTCGTACTTTACCTTTATTTATTTTTTTGTCAAATCGGGTCCTGGAAATTTTGGCGATGTGGACCCGCGCCTTTTGTAATAGTTTAAAATTTTATCTTTCTCGCAATTTTTAACTGTTAAGAAATGCATGCAAGAATGAATGGACAAAAAAATAAAAACAAACGCATAGATCACCCATAACCTGACAAGACAAAAATAAATGAAAACGACACACAAATCACACACCACCCCTAGGGTACGCCTCACTGTTGCCTTGCCTCGAAAGGTGATCGTCGAGTAGAGGATGTCTTAGTAAGTCCTCATGATCCGGGAACCTGGCATGAGGGTAGCTTCTAAGGTGTCTTCCCATTGCTCCGGTCATCACCATGTCCCGAACCTCTAATTGACCCGAACACCTCCAACGGTGGTGCTACCTACCTCTCAATGGTGGGATGGCACTACTTTAAAGGACATCTACACAGACGAATTCCTTAGGGTAGGTAGACGACTCTAGATACTTGCTCTAATTTCAAAACAAAATTCAAAAATACTTTTCACACCGACACCTTTTCAAAAAGCTTTCGAAAGCAATTTTTCAAACACTCTTGAGGACCGATACAAGAGTCGAACTGCAATTTTCAAAGAGACTTTTTTTAAACCCACAGTTGAAAAGCAAACAAACCATTTTTGAAAACACAAATGAGCAAGTATCTAAGAGCCCATGGATAACCATGGATAGAAAGGGTGCTAACACCTTCCCTTTCTATAACCTACCTCCCGAACCGAGAGCAATCTCTATAAGGAATTTTTCTGTGCTTTTGTCCTTTCCATTTGGAGAAAATAAAAGACGGTGGCGACTCTTGCTTTCGCGACATTTCGCGAACCAGCGTTAAACAGTCAGTTCCAGATCCACCGATCACACAAGTGAATAACAAAGTTTTCCATAATTTGTGGGCAAAGAGAAACTCTACAGAAAATCATTGTCTTTTTTCTTTTTTTCATATTTTTCATTGTCATTGTGTAGTGAGATCAATTTTGTTCATCAATATTGATAGAATTTCATCATAAATTTTAATGGATTTCCAACAATTATTACATCAACATAGGTTATATATTAAAAACGGAGGGACAATTGCATCCCAACTTCCAAAAGTAGAAATATCATTGATATAGTCTAACAAGTTTAGTAAATTCTTAATCTGAATCAGAAGATGAGAATGGCACTATTTCAAGCTTCTACTTCCATTCTCTGTGGCCTAACTTGTCTAAGATAACTGGCACAAAGAGGTGTCGGTCATATATTGTACAACCAGTTTCCTGCATCAAATGGAATATGAAATTAGTCTTTTAATCCTCTAAAATGAACTATGTGGTGAGACAATAGGTTATAGAAACATGGTTTCAAGCTAGGGCATGATAAAATTGATTGAATGTTCATGAAGCACAAGTACAACATACCTCTTTCAAATCACCTTAAGTAATCCGGAGAGTGCAAGAAGAATCACTCTCATTCTTCACCTGCAAAGATTGTCTATGATGCTCGACTCGTTGAAGCTGCGACGACAGTTGTAGTAAGTCAATGGTTGCATCATCTTCACACGAAAGACTGTCTTTAGCATTCAAAAAATCTGAATCTTGAAAGATTCCATCTGCCATTTCAAAGTTCACAATATCATTATTGTCTGGTATCAATAAAGGACTGAGATGACCTCCATCTGCAGGATTTAATTCTGATAAAAATCCATCTGACACTCGGCTTGAGGATGTCGTTTGTGATCTTATGCTATATAGATGGCTATGGCTTCTTGGAATAACCGAAGGGTGATCAAACGGAATTCCCGAGGATTGGCTTGAAGTGTTCTTGGATTGAGATGACAGAAGAGAGAGAGCACAAGAGTCTGAAATTCCTGATAATCCTCGAACTGTTGATGCAGCATGAAAAGCATTGAAAGCTTCCCTTCCTAACGAGGTGTTGCCAACCGCATGTGCATAATGGTTATTGTTTTCACCGAACACGCTGCTACCTGTAGTAGATGTGGCAACATTTTCATGAAGGAAGGGAAATTGTTTGCCGTTGTACGAAGCAAACGAAGAACTTGGTTGATGATGTCCATTCGTAACAGGCACAGAAGATAAATGTCTAAAACCGGTTTCATGTTCTGATTTAATCGGTCTCGAGAAACCATTTGAGAACACTTCTGGACAGATAAATGATGCTTGTGGAGGCTTGGTTCCTTTGAACCTTATATCTGCAAGAAATCAATGTAATTTAATGACGGCAGAAAGCAACAAATGAATCTCCATATGAATATATAATTACCACCACATGGCTGAAACAATCTCCTGGAATTGGCGGAGTGAACGCCTACTTGTGGTTTCCTTCGACGCTCATTATGGCCTGCAAGTCTTTTACGGCAACTGCGCTTACCATCATCAAATTCAGACAGCATATGAAACCTGAATAACAAGCTAAACATTACACCAGACCTATATATCATAAGCTTCTAGTTTCAAGCTTATCCACCAGAGTTGGTGGTAAGGAGATCTATGTTTTATACACTTATCTAAATAAAGTTGAACAATAAATTTAAGGCTAAAAACAACTCCAAATTCTAGCTTCAAATGACAAAATAACATTCAAACATATCAAAAACAGTTCAATAGCTCTAGAATCAATTTTGCCTCATTCAAAACTAAAATGAATTGAAAGAAGTGAAAATCTTGAAAATTTTGACCAACCTGCTACATTGTTGACAAAACCTCTGCTCAATTCCATTCACTATGACTACAGCAGTCTTGGAGTGAATCTCACAAACTTTGTGCCTTTTGTGGTAATCTTTACAAGAACTAAGATCCTTGTTACAGCCATAAACTTGACAGTAAGCAGTCAGTGAAAGCATTCTAACTCTCTTGGGAGGGGTTGATGATTCACAAGAAGACGAAATAGGTGCTCCATGACCATGATCACCAAAATGCCCCAGCTTCAAATCAATAAGAGAATCCCAACCATTAGTTTCCACCACAGAGTTTGAAAGCTTGGAATTCGTCTCCCCTTTCATAGAAAACCCAATTGGGTCACCAAATTTAGCATCAAGTTTATTGCTTGAAACATTCCCAATGAAATTGAAATCATCTGAAAATTGTTTCCCTAACATTTCACAAAAACCCATTTCTTCAGAACCTTGATTCTCATTGGAAACATAACCCTTTTCTTCAGATATATAACTCCAAGATTCCATTACATGTAACAGAATAAGGGAACTATAGAAAAACCAAAAAAAAACAAACAACAAAAGACTTGTGTTGTCGCAGGAACAATGATGTACTAAGCAAAAGTTTATCTTTTTAGCATAATAGCCATTGAAAGAGCATATTTTGAAGAGAGGTAGCGACAAGAGAGTGAGAGGAAGTGAAAACTGAAAACTAGAGAGAGAAAGTGTCAGAAAAACACGTGATGAAAATGGAGTAATCAATGAAAGAAATAGGTTAATATAATGATGAATGTGTCAGGATGAACAATAGAAGAACTAGAATCCAAGTTGTTATTATTGGAGTGAAAGAGAAAAGGGAAAAGAAAGCCATTGATGAAGGAGTGAAGAAAAGGAAAGGAAAAAGTGCTACTACTAGAGTGAGATTTTTTTACAGTGTCATAAATATAAACGAAGAATGGAAATTCAAGAGTGATAATCTAACTAGTGAGTTTGTGTTTCTATTTTTGGGGAGGGACAATGAGACTGTATAGTTTTCCACACTTTTTCACTCATTTTACTTTGCTCCAATCTTAATGTGACACGTGTTTAATGTTCTTGTCTTTATATACATATACTCGGAACAGAATCGTCTGCATTGCAATTTTCACACAGTCACGCATTCGACTAAATCTGAACCGTTTAAAAAATATCCAATGGCTCACAATACATAAGTACAAAATCATTTCATTTTTTGAATGGCCAAGATTAACCCTACAGTCACTTTTGACTGCAGGAATCTAAATCCCATATAGTCCACTAAGCTAATTAATCCCGTTTAAAATTTTCTATAGCTAAAAATCATATTAAAGCGTAATAAAAATTAAATGTCCTATTTTAATTATAAAAAAATATTAGTCTTCTTATTTGTAAGATAGTATTAATTGTAAAAAGTAAAAAGATTGATGGTGCAGAGTCAATGCCAAGTCATGATGGATTGAATATGTTGGGATCTAATAGACAGGACCCATACTATTGACACATCCCTTTCGTGACACGTGTCCATAAGCATTAACTATTTTTTAACGTTTTGTGTGCGTGTCAACAAACAATTGAGAGAGAAGAGATTGCTCCAAAACAATTGAATTTCAACCAACCAACCTAAAAGAACTGTCAATTGCAGATACACCCAACCCGCTTTTAATTCCTTCCATTTTCTTGATTAAAGTAATTAACGCACGACTCATTTATTGCTTTCCTCTTAAATGGAAACGAAAATATCTTTTTCCAAATTCAATGTCCCTAACCAATCTTTATATTTGTAATTAAGTTTTACTTAACACAATAATAATAAATTATATTTTAATTTTTATTCTTCACTTTCTTTGTCTTTTTACTAAAAGTATCTCACGCACTAATAAATTAGTATTTAGAGTTATGGTTAAATTCTTGATCGTGTTTTCAAGAATCATACGTCAGTGATCATGTTTTTGGGATTATAGGTTGTTAATCATTCATTGCAGATATGAAAGCTACCAATGCCATTCCAAATTTTCTTCTAATTCTTGGTAGTAAGAATTGGATTAGAAGGAAAAAATAAATGCAATCTCTGTTTGACTATTATGAAATTTTAGAAGTGGTTACTAATGGCGAAGCTTTTATCTCCAATAAACTAAAAACCGAGATGATATGTCATGGGAGCACAATGTTTGAGTTTTTTGATAAGATAAACAACATGTTATGTCTTCGTTATAAAAAACCGAGGTAATAAAGCTATAAGATATCACCTTTTTTATCCATAAAAAATAACAAACATGTTATCTCAACTTTTTTTTAGAAACGAGGTAATATAGGAACCTCACTTCGAATCTCCATTGCCACATTTAAAACTTTTTTCAACGATTTATCACTTGGCGTCTTTTCTAGATGCCATATTTTTTTTGTTAATTCTCAATAAACAAGAATAGACAAGAATAGAAAAAAGAAATATTTCATTAATAAAAAAAAACAATACAACAAATTAAACTACTCAACAAATTCAGATTTCTCAGTCAACTCAACTTCAAAATTACTCTAACTATCCCTAACTTAGAGAAAAGTTCAGAAAGAACTCTTCCATAAGATATGAGGAAAGTCATTTCTTCCCGAGAAGTCTTTATCATTTCTTTCAAGAAGTTGAAAATGGTAAGAGAAAGATTAACTCTGATGTTGTAGGTGACGAATAACAAGAGATGCTTGTCATACCAAGTAAGTGTTTCCAGGTCTTTCTCTCTTGGGCGAAGATTTGCTCCTAGAAGTTGAAACCAAAACTTTGCAATTAGGAGTAGAGAAACAGGACTGGAGAGTTTATTTTTGTTGGCATAAAGTCGGTGAAGGCGGGTTGGGTAGACATTGTTGAATTTATAATTATATGTTTATTTTCTTGATATTTTACTATTATGTATGAATGTTTTTATAGGGAATTTTACCTGCAATGGAAGAGTTCTTGCCCAATGTTGAACATCGATTTTGTATTAGGAATCTGTATAACAACTTCAGGAAGAGGTTTTCTAGAAATATGTATAAGGAACTTATCTGGAAGGCTGCAAAATCTACATACTCACAAGTTTGGGAAAGAGAGATGAGGGCAACGAGAGTGATCAATGGAGAGACATATCTCCATATGATGAGGGAAATGAGAGTGATCAGTGAAGAGGAATATCTCCCTTTGTACCCCAGGACCAACAATAAGACTCTCAGCATCCAAGAATGTGATTTGTCCTACCACCAAGAGGTATACTCCAACCAAGAGAAACACACTAAAGAGAACCATCTAGTCATATTTAGGCTTTATGTAGTTTATGGTATTATGTAACATCTAGTCAGCATTTTGGAACATGTTTATGTATTTTAGAACACGTCTATGTAACATGTTATTATGTCAGCATTTTGGAACATGTCTATGTAACATGTCTATGTAACATGTCTATGTCTTTCAACAATATCAATTAATGTCATTTTGTGATAATGTCTAAGTAATTTGATATGTTGCAATTGTCATTTACTGATAATGCCCAAAACTATGTTGCTACAAACAATGATATGCCAAACAATAGAAATCATATTAAAATGATAAATCGTGTTACAATTATACATAACATTACACATTACACTTGATACATACTCCTAAAACAGCTTAATGAAACATACACATAACATTACAAAATACATAATCTTCAATGATTTTTTCCACTTCAACATCTTGTTCAGTTGAATTTGAAGTTCCATCATAACATCTCCTAATTATTCATTTATAACCCTCAATTTTTCATACTGATTTTTGGTTTCATCTAAATCCTTTGCTATATTTTCTAACTTATTCATCAATATTTGGTTTATGTCTTCTGCCAATTTCTCATGCAACCAATTGAAAAAACCACATCCTCTTTGCAAGGATTCTTGCAAATTTCAAAAATGGATCAAAACCTATTTACCCGTTTTTAACATACCCAAACAAAAATTAGGGCTTACCTTGTAATTGTGACAACCCTAAAATTCTTTCCCAAATTCTTCTCAGTGGTTGCCCTAGGAAGAAAAGCTTAATCTCCACGAAAGCAAAATGGTACAAATTGTGAGCTACTGTATACACATGACTCACCACTTTTAGAGATTTCCAGCTTCGTATGCGAAGAAGAATGATTGGTATTCATGGGGAAGTAAATGGAACGACTTGAACAAGATGAAGATAGAGATGAAAACGCAATTGGTGATGGTGAATAACACAACAATAAAAACGGTGATGGAAACGATGGTGAATAACACATATAAAGATGATGAAGATAACATGTTAGCTCACCTACCATGTAGGTAAAATTAACCGATGTTTGAGTTCAACTGATATAAGGGACTTGTTTGTTACATTTTGAAAATTATGAGACCAATTTGACACGAAAAAAATTAAGAAACTAAACTGAATTGTGGTCTATAATTAAGAGACCAAAATAGACATTTTACCGATATTTTCTACTAATATTATTCTGTTATATAAGCTTATCTTTTATTTACCATAAAATTAAATTATTCATAATTTTATTAATATAATAGCACGAAATTTAATACTAATTTTAAAATTTTTATTGATAAAGAATACTAAAATTTTATATTTTACATTTTGTTTTTAAACTAAAATTTACGTTTTTAAAGATAACTTCTACTAATATTATTCTCTTATATAATTTAATCTTATTTTAAAATTAATTTCAATTCATTGTTATTTTAATAATTATTTTTCTATAAATTAAAAATATTAAATTAAAAATGGGAGGCACTCACGATTAAATTTAAAAATAAAATTTAAAAATGAGAGCATTCTACATCTATAACAAACAATTATAATAATTAAAAATTATTTTTAATTAATATTAATTGCGTATATCAGGGTAATAAAGTAATATGAAATGATTTTCACAAATAAAATAATAATAGAGAAAAATATATTCAAAAGTTAGTATAATAAAATATAATTATATTCTTAGACGATTAAATCATTAATAACTATTATTTTAATTTTTTTTTTAATATTTATAAATATTAATTATTATCATTAAAATATCTATCTAATTGTAAGCTGGTTAAAAGAGTTAAATCTAAAATTTAAATTTACGTTGTTATGTTCGCTTTAAAACTTAAATTTATGTTTTTTAAAGATATAAATTTTAGTTTTTGTAAATATAAAATTAAAAAATGGAAATATTTTTAGTCCGCCACATAAATAACAAATGATTTCAATAATTTAAATTCATTATAAATTAATAACATGTGCGATTGAGAGATGTAAAATAATACGAAAATATTTTCAAAAAAAAATTAATAATAGGTAGAAAAAAAAATTTAAAAGTCAGTCTAATAAAACATGATTATATTTGTACATAATTAAATCATTAACATTTATTTTTTAAATTTTTCGTTGAGTGTTTATAAATTTCAATTATCACCATTAAAATGTCTATTTATTTGTAAGTTACCTAAAAGACTTAAATTTACGTTCTCATTTTGTTATCTATTTATTAAATTTTTAAAATTTGAAAATAAGCATAAATAAATGTAACATAAATATGGATTTATAGGGTTGGCTCCTTTTGCTCTGGTAATTTTCGGTTGAGAAGCGAAGGTTTTCGGCCAAGTACAAACGAATACTCTTAGTGGCAGCTTTTTCTGTGTTGGTTTAAACTCCTAACCTTAGGGTTAGGGACCACGAAGGAGAAGGGAAAATAACGAGTATTTCGTTTGGATAGTTTCGTTAGAGAAGATGGGTCATGGGCGAGTAAGACCTAAGAGAAAGGTATCAACGACGATGGCTTACTCTGCGGGTAAGGAAGGAAAAGGGAGTTCTAGCAACAATGGTAAGGGGAATGGTGACAACGATGTAGAAGTGATTGTAGAAGAAGGAGATGTTAAAACCCTAGAGGAAGAATAAGCGAAATAGGATTAATAGGATTTGGACCCTCACAAGGAAAAGAAATTATGGGTGGACATTATCAGTGGTAATCGTCTCCCAGCAAACGGCCTTGTTCTT